GTCGCCGTTTTACTGGGCAAGGTCGCAAGGTCGCCGTTTTACTGGGCAAGGTCGCCGTTTTACTGGGCAAGGTCGCCGTTTTACTGGGCAAGGTCGCTGTTTTACTGGGCAAGGTCGCCGTTTTACTGGGCATGGGCAAGGTCGTTCTATAAGTAAAATATTTTCTTAATGTTGTGGGATTCTTTGGGCGGGTGGGTATTTTCCTGGAGTAATTGCTTGACTAGTGAATGCTTGGACTTGAGATGCTGAACCCTAAACCCTAAACCCTAAACCCTAAACCCTAAACCCTAAACCCTAAACCCTAAACCCTAAACCCTAAACCCTAAACCCTCTTGAGGGCTCTTGCAGGCCTGTAGCTGGTCACGCCAGCCGCCAGGCAGTTCGCCATTCCTGGCCTCGCAATAAGCTGCTGGAGATGGGCTTGCTAGTAGGTTGCCGGTGTAACCCAGACGAGGTTCAGGGTTTAGGGTTTAGGGTTTAGGGTTTAGGGTTTAGGGTTTAGGGCTTAGGGTTCTCCTCCCACGGGGCCCTATAGACCCTGAACCCTAAATCCCAAGCCGAAATCCTTAAGTCGAGGAGCACAGGGCACCAGAACCACGGAGGGCGAGCTCCCCATGGCGCGCGCGCGGAAGTTGGGCGTCTGTTAAGGGGTTGAAGGAGGGACCCCCTACAGGGGACTCTTATTCCCCCATAGAACCCTTATATACTTTATATAGTCCCTATAGACCTAAGTAGCCCGTAGCCCCTAAGTCACCCCCAAATGAGCCCCTCCTTTAGTCCCGTTGAGTTTTCGGCCTTTCCGTCTCGGGGAGGTCCCGTTGGCGAAGCATGGTCTGCTTAGGGTTTTATCCCAGAGGCCCCCTAAGCCTGGATCCTCAACTGCCCCCTACACATGGGTCCGCATCGGGCCCCTCACAGTAGGAACTTCGGTGCAGACAGGGTTGGGGTCCCGGATTCAAAGGCCTTGGGCCCGGGCTGTGGGTGTGTGCTCTTTTGAAGCTTTCGGGCTTGGCTTTGGCGCCTGTAGTGTCGGGTAGTTTTCGGGGCTTTGGGTATTAGAGTTTATAGAGCATAGGGCTTGCAGTAGGCTTAGGCTTTGGGCGTTCACGCTGAGCATCCCTAGCTGCCGAAGCCAAACCGAAAATGACCAGGAATGGGTTTAGGGTGGGCAGGGTTTGGGGCTTAGGGCTTCGGGTTTTAGGGCTGGATATACGTGCACTAAGGAGTTTCCGCTAACCCCATGGCATTGCATGGCCGGCCAATGTTGCATCAATCAATTTTCGTTGTCCTGGGTCCAGAACAGCTGGCACCAACGAAAAGTAATGAAAGGCCTCCACCAAAAAATGACGATGGTGGTGCTCTGTATGCCAAGGGTCCCAAGCTGCCATGGTTCCTTCAAAGGACGCCTGAGACCTGTCTTGTGTCCGATGCTGCACGCTGGGCGGCTGCAACGTTCCATGAACTTGATCACCGAAACCAAACTTTGTTGAAGCCAAGCTTAAAAGGGCATGGTTGTGACTGCTATTCAGGGTACAAGTATAGCAAGTGTGGTTGGGCATGAAAAGGCCCACCTACTCCCTTTGCAGTCTTCCCCCCACCCAGATGCTACTTCGCATGATTGCTCCCACGCATAGGAATAAAATTAACGGTAGTTGGTGAGTCATATGCTCTATAGCCCCTGTGAAGGCTGCCCCTACCCGTTGACAGCTCCACTTAGTGTCCTTCTGAGCTCTGAAGTCTAAAGCCTTATTTAGAAGATGCACCAGTTTTTTCTTTCGCACACGTGAGAGCAGCTGTTTGCTGTACGCGGCCGCAATCTGATTGCGCCACATGACGGCTGCTTCAAAGTCTATGCGAAGGCTGGTGCCATGTAGCCACGAGGCAGACAGGGCTATGGTGGTGGGGAAATCTCCATTCTTTGTAACCCCTAACCCCCCCCCCCCCCCCTCAATTGAGAAACCCCAAGCCCGGAGCATTATCAACCCCCCCCCCCCCCTCAATTAGGTTAGGGGCCCGATATTTTTTCTGTGGGCCTTTGGGTAGGTCAGGGCTTGGGGGCGGCTCGGGACAGCCCGACCCCCCCCCCCCCCTTCAATAGGGGGTGGGGGTAGAAACAAAAAAGGGGGGGGGGGGGGGGGGGGGAGGTTATGACTAGGTCAACATTAGATCGTCCTGTTCTTTCTTGCATGTCCATGCTCTCCGTCACGCTCGAGACCAATCCCGCAAGCCTGCCCAAGAGTCCAAGAGGAGCTGTTCATCCAAAAATCCACGGGTTCACCCAAAAAGCCACGGGAAGCCTAAACCCTAGACCCTAGACCGTAAACCCTAAACCCTAAACCCAAAACCCTGAACCCTAAACCCTAAACCATACACCCTAAACCCCTACCACCCCCCCCCCCCCCCCCCCACCTGAGCCCCAATCCCCGAACCTCCGTAAACCCTCAACCGAGCCTCAACCTTTGGTCTGGGGTTTTGGGTACAGGCGGTTGGGAGTTCAGGGCTTCGGACCCTCCTTAAACCCTAAACCCTAAACCCTAAACCCTAAACCCTAAACCCTAAACCCTAAACCCTAAACCCTAAACCCCAAACCCCAAACCCCAAACCCTAAACCACAAGAAAGACTCAAGCCGGCAGTCTGTGACTGTCGAAACCCTAAACTTTGTTCTAACCGAAAACCGAAGCCGACTCCGAACCCGGGGGACCCTCCTCTCTACATGGCCTCAAACCCCGAAAGCCCCAATTTCTTCAGAAGCCCCCTCCAGGGTTTAGGGTTTAGGGTTTAGGGCTTAGGGCTTAGGCCCCGTGCTTTTGCCCAAAACGACACCCGAGTCCGGCGAGCTCCGGGGGACCAACTATATCACCCCGGCTGCAGCTGCATGCCCGTGCTTACTTCCGAAAACATTTAGGGTTTAGGGTTTAGGGTTTAGGGTTTAGGGTTTAGTGTTTAGTGTTTAGGGTTTGGGGGGTCGAGGGTTTTTGAGGCCTTGTTGTTTATATGGTTCTGGGGTTGGGCTGAGGCCGTAGAATTTTACCCTTAGGGCCTCTCGAGTCACCAACAAAACAGGACCTACCCACCTAGCTGCGCTCCGTCGAAAAAGTTACATTTTTTGTTACAAAAGGTTGGGTTCTTTTGCAGTTGAAAAGGGTTACATAGGGTTTGCAGCTGCAGTTTAGCAGGCGGTGCACTTGGCCGGCAATCAAACTTGGGGCAGGGTACCCCCAAACCCCTAAACCCTAAACCGCTGACCACATTTGCTGGTTAGCAGACCTTGCTTGAAGGTGATGGCAGATTCTCGTAAACGGCTTACCTCGCATGTGTTAGAATTTATCACTGCCCATGTGCCGTCAAGAGACTCATGACATGTCCTCAACATTACGAATCTCAGGACAATGCCTAGCCGTGCCCTGGGCACCCGAGCGTGTTGACTCCAAGATACCAAGAAGCCCGTAAGCCCTGGATGTAGGGTTATGTAAACTCTGGCCCTAAACCCTATAAAGCTTGAGTCAGAGAGTTTGGTTGCCAGCAATCTAGACATGGGGGGTGGCTTCAAAATATGGGCCCTGTTTGTACCCCCCCCCCCCCCCCCAAAAAAAAAAAAGAAAGGCGCTACAACACTTAGAAGTCCAACAAGGGCCCATGATTTAGATCAGCTCCCCCCAGATATGCATAAGGATTGGCGCCGGTCAGCGCTGGAAGGCGCATGTGCTTCAAAATGCAAGATGGAACGGCAACTGGAGTTCAGTCATGCACGCAGAAGAATTTCCTGACCATGACCGTCTCTGCCACCTGCACAAATGCAGCGATGAAGGACCGCCCCCACTACAAATCTGAGCCTTGAAGAACCTTGGGCAGCACATGATGACGTGAACCCCCAGATTTGGGATCCTTGTTCCTGGACTACTACAATCATCCCTGTCATTGGGGAATATACCCAGTTGAGGGTTCATTTGGTTCTCAAGGAAACATCCCAGGTGGTTAAAGATTTATGGTTGCAGGAAGGATCGATGCTCATGTAGGGATTCCAGGGCATCTTCTGGCCGGGTTTTAAGGTTTAGGGTTTAGGGTTTAGGGTTTAGGGTTTAGGGTTTAGGCTCAACATCGAGTCGCATCTGTCGAAACGACAGACTCCGAACGCTTGTGCGAGAGGACCAACAGCCCAACATACGGAAAGAGGTGAGGGTAAAGCCTTTACCTGCACAGAATATAGTAAGATTATACGAATATAAGAAACACAAAATATGGCATTATAAGAATGTGGTCGTATAAGAATACAAGATTGTAACACTCTCTGACATCACCACCCGGAACTCCTAGCGGGCCCCGCCACCCCGAAAACTTTGCTCGGGCCTCGCCGGCCCCACTCGCCCCGAAATGGGCCGAGAGGTTACCGACTGTAGGGGCCTCAATATGTAGAACAGGGGGGTTGGGGGGTTTGTTATAGTATAACTATATAGGGACCAGAAAGGAATTTCTATTAGTAATTATTCCGATCCCTACAGTACTTGCACTCAAACGCGGCTCTAAGAAAAGCAACAAGCATCGGTTCATCAAGAAGATCAACCACCAACAGAGTTATGATTCTCGTGCGGGTGGCCGGGGTAGGTTGATGGCCCAAGCGCGCACCCTAGCCAATGTAAACCCGAAACCCGAAGCCCTAAAGATTGATGTCTCCTGTGACTCTGACTCTCTCTCCCAATGGCTATGGTATGTTATGGTGCCCTCTTATGGTACTTTGAGGGCCGTCCAGTTATGAACCCAAAAGGTTCTAGGGGGCGGGGGTTGGGGTGAGCCTAAAAACCCTAAACCCTAAACCCTACACCCTAAAACCTAAACCCTAAACCCTGAACCCTAAACCCTAAACCCTAAACCCTAAACCCTAAACCCTGAACCCTAAACCCTAAACCCTAAACCCTAAACCCTAAACCCTAAACCCTAAACCCTAAACCCTAAACCCTAAACCCTAAACCCTAAACCCTAAACCCCAAGGCAGGGCCTGGTCTCACTTCTGCGCAGTGGCGGCATTTGCCAGTGCGGCGGTGCCCAACATGCCTGACACTCTAAGGTTCCCTAAATTAGGGTTAGGTTTAAGGTTCAGGGTTCAGGGTTCAGGGTTCAGGGTCCAGGGTCCAGGGTTCAGGGTTCAGGGTTCAGGGTTCAGGGTTCAGGGTTTAGGGTTTAGGGTTTAGGGTTTAGGGTTTAGGGTTTAGGGTTTAGGGTTTAGGGTACTCTAGAAAGGGCACCCTTTGTTAGGTTCCCTTATACGCCCCTCAAAACCACAAAAAGGCAACCTTTGTTTGGTCCCCTTATAAGCCCCTTAAACCCAAATAGTACACCCTTTGCTAGGTTCCCGTATATGCCTCTTTAAAACACCAAAAGCGCCGCTTGTTCGGTGCCCTTCAAGCCCCTTTAAACCCACAAAGTACACCTTTTGCTAGGTTCCCTGATAAGCCCCAAAAAAGGGCACCCTTTGTTAGGTTCCCCTTTTTAAACCCAAAAGGGCACCCATTGCCAGGTTCCCTAATGAGCCCCTTGACAACCCTTTGGGATGTTGCCTCCTTATACTAGCAGTGCTTCATCTGTGTTATAAAAGTTGGGGCCACTCTGGGTCCTGCTGCATCTCCCGCATTGAGGTAGAGAGAGGGCGCCGAAAGGAAGTCGCATTTGGGAACCCCCAAGCAGGGGCACCACGAGTATCATAATTAGAATAGGGGCTTTGGGGCCTCGTTCACCTGACTTTACACTTATTCCTGGGGCCCCTTGCTACTTCCGGTAGTGTAGGGCTGCAGGGAGCCGAATCCATGAACCCCTGAAGCCCTGCCGCAAGAAGGGCCTGGGGCTTCGGGTTCAAGGCTACCTTGATGCGAGGAGTATCTTAGATGGTCGAGAAAACTCGAAAGACTTGAGTTTTTTTTCACTTTTCTTGAACCCTGTGGGTTGTCCAGGTCCTCACGAAAAAAGAGCCTACGTTAGACTGTCCTTTGACTGTTACAACACTGAAGTACGTGTTAGGAGGTATGCAATATTATATTGTATATGATGCCCCTACCAGTAACAAACCTAGAATCTGATAACCGTTGAAGACTGAAGACCTCGGCCAAATCCCTACAACCCTGTTAAACACCAAGCCCTAAACCCTAAGGCCCTAAGAAGGCCCCAAGTCCCGTAAGAATCTGCTAAGCTTATAAATTTATAAGCCAACCAAGCCCCAAAAACCTCAAAACTACCGATGCCAACCTAAGCGCCCGCAAAGGGGTTTGAGCTGAATTCTGAGGCCCTTGTTTTGTGGCAAGCATGTCTTCACCCATAATTTAGTTACTCCCCCGGCCCCCGTCGTGAACGCGCAGCCGCGGCTCTCAGCCGAAAAGCACGGAAAGCACACTGTTGAGGTGTAAGGCTTAGGCCCCAGAGCAACTTTGGACAAAATATGGACACCCTTTTTGGGCGTCGAGTTTCGCAAGGAATAGTGGAACTTTAACCGGTAAAATCCAGGAATAAAGCCACACTGCTCAGCTGCCTCCGGGGATGTCGGCTGCGCCGTTGAGGCCGAAAAAGAAGGAGTTTGCCTGCTTGGCGTACACAAAAGCCATCCAAACCCACAACCTAAAGCCTGTAAGCCCTAAGTAGGAGGGACCTTTTAGGATAATGCGACTGTGTGCGTTTCCAATGGTGCACTGCAATGGCAAGGCTTGTAAAGGGAGCTGCAGGGCTTGGGAGGGAAAACAATTGCAGAGGCAAGGCTCGTAGAGAGTGTAGGGTTTAGGGTTTAGGCTTAGGGTTTAGCGCTCAGGGTTTAGGGTTTAGGGCTTAGGGGGTGGAAAAAGGGTCAGGAAAGGGGCTTGGGGGGGGCATGGGGGAGGGGCAATGGCCGTCAATGGCCCCCCGATGTTGGGGAGAGGTTTCGACAAACCCCAGAGCCCGCGCTTGAGGGAGATGCAGGGGAAGGGAAAGGGCCAGTTTGCCTGAGTTAGGGTTTAGGGTTTCGGGTTTAGGCACAGGATCTACTTCAGGGAATGGGACCTGGACATTCCAAGAATAAGGTCGCCATCTGGTACCCCGAGCCATCAGACAGATAGCCCCCCCCCACTGTTCAACTTTCTTGTAAACTGTAAACCAAGCATCCGCTTGAAACACCAATAGCCCATGGAGCACAACACACACGCCTGTCTTAGCCCTCCACGCCTAAAACCTTTCGAAAACCCTTCGAAGCCCCTTGAAAAACAAAACACAACCTGAACACCAAGCTTTTAAAAACCCTTAACGCAACCCAAAAAACTCAAGAAACCCTCTAAAAAAACTGTCAAGAACCAAACAAAAGCACCTTCCCTTGAATCCATCACGGGGGTTGCTTCGGCCTACACCCTAAACCCTAAACCCTAAACCCTAAGCCCTGTAGGTTGCTTCGGCCTTGCCCTCCTTGAGGCAGCTTCCGGCAGTCTTTATCTTCGCCAGCGCGATGGCGACCTTCCGACCAGGACCCGTGGAGCCGGTTTAGGGTTTAGGGTCTGGGGTTTAGGGTTCAGGGTTTAAGGTTTAGGGTTTAGGGTTTAGGGTTAGGGGGGGGGGGGGGGGTTGAGGCGTTTGTGGGGTCCTTGAGTGGTGGGAGGTGTAAGGGCGGAGGCACTGCGAGCATGATGAGCAGCTAAACAAATGCGAGTACCTTAGCGAAGGTAATAGGCCACCCTAAACCCTAAACCCTAAACCCGAAACCCTAAAGCCATTAGAACTGAACTCTACTGACAAGTACCGATGGACCTTCAAGTCTAGCGGGCAAGATAGGTACACCACCCTGGGCAGATTTTAGGGTTTAAGGTTTAGGGTTTAGGGTGTAGATTTTAGGGTTTAAGGTTTAGGGTTTAGGGTGTAGATTTTAGGGTTTAAGGTTTGGGGTTTAGCGTTTTAGGGAGCATCCCGCAGCCTTAGGGCTTGAAGGGCTTCAGGGGTTGAGGGTTTCGGATTCAGGAAGGGGCCGTAGGGCTGAGAAAGTGATTCAGATGGTCCGATCTTGTGATGAAGCCCTCAACTGCGCCCTGAGAAGCCCAAACACTAAACCTTGGAATAGGGTAAGGCTCTTCAATAGGGTCAGAACTCAGGGTGTAGGATATTGAGGGGTGTTCCCTAGAGCCTAAACCCTAAACTCCTAAACCCTAAACCCTAAGCCCCTGTGGTACCTGTAGCTGCCATGAGCTCAACTTGTCTTGTGCCACGGGTTTTGGGTTTTGGGTTTAGGGTTGCATGAGGGTTTGGGGTTGTGGAACAAGGGCGTAGTCTTCAGCTGAGTTTATTCATTACAAGGGGCATCTAGGGTTATTGGATTGGGGGCTGCAATAGGGTGTAGAACCCCTACCCCTCAGCCAACCTTGAACCCCAAACACCAATCCCTCGACCTTCAATCCCACACCCCAATGAGGTTGGCCCATCAAACCCTCTGAGCATTTCCGAGACAACACAACCTTAAACTCCAACAAAAGAAAGATACGCAACATATCCCCAGCCCTAACCCCTAGGGCTAAACCCTAAACCCTAACCCTAAACCCTAAACCCTAAACCCTTAACCCCCAGAACCCCGCCTCGGAGTCTTCGAGCCTCTTGGCTGCCTGCGTCTTTTCGTTGGCACTATCAGGGCTGCTCCAGGACTGGGGGTTAAGGGTTTAGGGTTTAGGGTTTCGGGTTTCGGGTCTTGGGCTTAGGGTCCCTAGGGTTCGGGGTTTAGGCTTCGGGCCCAACTCGCCCAGTGCATCCGCAAAACCACCAGCAACTCGTGGCTCGCAGTGCTTAGGGCCTGGTTTAGGGTTTAGGGTTTAGGGTTCAGGGTTTAGGGAGGGTTTAGGGTTTAGGGTTTAGGGTTTAGGGTTTAGGGTTTAGACTTGGGATGTTCCCCCTTATACTAAGATTGTAGTAGCGGGTACTATGATCGCTATTTAAGGACTGATAAGATAAAAAGGGGAACATCCCAAGTTTAGACTCTTAAAAAACCATCGCTTCGTGCTGGCCTTTCCAAACTCATCGTTTTGCCCCAAATAATATGACTAGTGATCCACGTACACGAGTGAGAACGAAGTCCTTTATCTTGTCTCTCTTAAATTTAATGACTTCGTGAACAACTTTAAAAATATTGGAAATGCAACCATAAATGCTGTAATTCTAAGGAAGCACGCGGGCTAATCTAATGTTTAATGGACGTTTTGCCCGCGAATTGATCTAATAAAGAGAGTGAAGATAATAATGCTAGTCATATGGTCTTTACATGAATTTGTGTGTAGGTTTCAGAGTTCCGGCACCCTGGCTGGAAGAGCCACCAGGAAAAACCAGGCCCTAAACTCATGACATCCTAGACGATGCCCACTGTGATGTTTCGCCCTTCTGCTAACAGTCCTTCAGAGGGATTCTGGCCTAAACCCTAAACCCTAAACCCTAGTACCCCGAAATATGATCCCTATTAAGGGGCTGCTAGTATGAGGGGAAACATCCCACATCCCCACCCTTAGCCATGGTAGGCGGGCCAGTGACCTGGAAATGAATAGGGTGCACCGTTTTGCTTTGAAAAGGGAAGGGTTTAGGGTTTAGGGTTTAGGGCTTAGGGCTTAGGGTTTAGGGTTTAGGGTCTAGGGTTTAGGGTTTAGGGTTTAGGGTGTAGGGTGCAGGGTGTAGGGTTTAGGGTTTAGGGTGTAGGGTTTAGGGTGTAGGGTTTAGGGTTTCAGGGTTTCAGGGTTGAGGGTTGAGGGTTTATGGTTTAAGGATCCTCACCCTGAAATATGGTCGGAAGGTAACTACCATCCGAATGAACTACCCCCCCCCCCCCCCCCCCTGAAACAAACCTTTGGCCCAAATACGGGCTTCATAGGCGCTATGATTACATCGTTAAATTTTGCAAAACATTACAACGTTCGATCTAGTCGAACTTGCTACAGTAAATCCAGCACTATTACATACTATATGTATATCTATACATGCATTCGTATAAAAAGTGTATATGTATGTATGTATGTATGTATGTATGTATGTATGTATGTATGTATGTATGTATGTATGTATGTATGTATGTATGTATGTATGTATGTATGTATGTATGTATGTATGTATGTATGTATATATATGTATACATACGCATGCATACACATAAATAAACGGAAAACTCAAAAAACACCACATATGGGGGACCATACACGTATGTATGTATGTATGTATGTATGTATGTATGTATGCATGTATGTATGTGTGTGTATGTGTGTGTGTGTATGTGTGTATGTATGTATGTGTGTGTATGTTTGTATGCATGTACGTATGTATGCATGTATGCATGTATGCATGTATGCATGTATGCATGTATGCATGTATGCATGTATGCATGTATGCATGTATGCATGTATGCATGTATACATGCACGCATGTATACATGTATGCATGTATGCATGGATGCATGGATGCTGGATGCATGGATGCATGGATGTATGGATGTATGGATGTATGTACATGTAAATCTTTATGTATATGTATACGTACACGCCGAGCCTTCAAGGAGCCTTCGGCGCGAAGCTCCTCGGCTTTGGCGTCGCCCTGAGGAAGACCACACGGGATCGGGGTTGGGAACCTAGGGTCGAAGATCCTGGGTGAGGGTTTAGGGTTTAGGGTTTAGGGTTTAGGGTTTAGGGTTGAGGGTTGAGGGTTGAGGGTTTAGGGTTTAGGGTTGAGGGTTGAGGGTTTAGGGTTTGCCGGGTTTAGGTTGTAGAGTAGAGCTTCGTGGCTGCTTTCGGGCCACCCGCCGTCCAGCTCTTGTTGTTAAGGGATTCGATCTAACTTAGAACTCCTAGGAGTCTAGGGTTATGGTTTTAGGGATCAGGGTTTAAGGTTCAGGGTTCAGGGTTTAGGGTTCAGGGTTTGGGGGTTCGGTGGTTGCGAGTTTGGGGTCCGACTAGAGCCTTGTAGAAGCTGCCTTGTGGGGTTGAGGGCAAAGCCTTCATCTCCTTCTGCAGGGAACACGCATGTCTGGCAGAGGCCCCCATGCAGGACTACAGGAAAACTACTGGGTGGGGTCCCCTTACTGTGCGAACTATCCTCGGGTGACTTGAACTGCTACTTCACAGTTTCCATCATGCGTGAAAACCTGAAAGCCCCCAACCCTAAGCCCCAAACCCTGCCTCAGCTCGGATCCTGGCTGCTTCGGCCTCCGCTTTGGCCTACCCGCGGCGCGTTTGATGGGTGCCGGCTAGGCTGCTTACTCAGGATGTGGGGTTTCGGGTTCGAGAGGTTAGGGCTTATAGGGCTCTAGGTCCTTGTGAACTAGGGCTCTAGGGTGTAGAGCGCAGCCATGTACCAGAAACCTTCCAACTACCCTAAAGCGGCATGCAATTGCACATTGTCATGGGGTCGGCAAGGCTTCGTGCTAGGGCGGTTAGGGATGGGGGTGTCTGGGTCGGCTTGAGTTGCTTTGCAGCACTGTGATTCCAAAGACCTCCTTGCGAGAAGAGGTAGGTGCCAGCTGCGAATACGACAACGGCAATGTATTGTCAGTAGTGCAATCGGGAAGCCTAACGCAGAATCGCCAACATGCAAGATGCACAACGTACATGTCAAGCCCGAGACTGTGTAGCTCGCTCTCTCTTGCAAAGTAGTCAGCAGGCTGACCTCATCTACATCATCGACATCATGCTCGTCAGAAAATTGCCGGGCTGATTTCCACACCCGCGACTATACTGCAAACAGGCTGGAAGGGACAAAGTGGGGCCCTGACTTTAGGAAACTCCAAGCCCTGAACCCCTAGCCCTAAACCCTAAACCCCTAAACCCCTAAACCCCTAAACCCCTAAACCCCTAAACCCCTAAACCCCTAACCCCTAAACCCCTAACCCCCTAAACCCCTAAGCCCCTAAACCCCTAAACCCCTAAACCCCAAAACCCCAAAACCCCAAAACCCCAAAACCCCAAAACCCCAAAACCCCAAAACCCCAAAACCCCTAAACCCCAAAACCCCCAAAACCCCAAAATCCCAAAACCCCAAAACCACAGCAAAAACCTTCCGGCTGGCCTTCAAAAGCAAAGCTTGCGCCTCGCCTGAGGAGGTCAAAGCTCGAGAGAGTTGAGGGTTCGGTAGGGTTTGGGGTTTAGGGTTTGAGGCTTCGGGGTTTAGGGGGTTTTGGGATTGGGGTTTAGGGTTTGGGGTTTAGGGGTTTGGGGTGTAGGGTTTGGGGGTGAGGGTTTGGGGTTTAGGGGTTAGGGTTTGGGGTGTGGGGTTAGGGTTTGGGAATTCAGGGTACCCTATCTTGTATATACGTTGGCCCTAAAGCTACCTATTTGGGAAAGGCGCAAGTATACGCTACGCACGTGGACCTTTGGGGCTTCTCGGTGGGTAGCAGAGCTGGTTCGCTGCTTGTCGAGGGTTTAGGGTTTAGGGTTTAGGGTTTTCAGAAGCGGGGTACTGGGGCCGGAGTCACAGTGACTAGACTACGTAGCTTGCTTTTTCCGATTGAGCCCAAGGCGCCTGTCAAGCAGGAACTTGTCTCATGAATGCTATTTGACGCTTGCATGCTTGTTCATGCCTATACAAGTGTTCGTCTAACAGACTCTGCACTATACGAAATCCAACTCGGCGCTTGTGTACAGGAAAATCTCACACCCGTCTTATCAACGAGTGGATGAGTGCGCCTCAAGAGAAGTGAAATTCGTCACTCAGCTGGAGCTTCTTCTTTCACAACGGCCTCGTTGCTCTCCAAGGCCTCGTTCAGAAGCTTGGGCTTCATGCTCTTGGTCAAGCAATCAGCCAACTGAAGATGGGTTGGTATCCATCGCAGGATGTCACCGAATGGTGCGAAGGCTTCGCTCGTCGGTGTCTCGTCTACCCACAGTGCTTGGCGCAATGCTGTCATCTCGATAGCAAGACGCTTGTCTTCCACTGGTCTGGGTACCGACGACAGCAAATGATCTGTGAGCGATCTGCAGTCGGAGTACTGCAGATGTAGCATCTTTCTCGGCGCTACTTCGCTCCAGTCATGCAGTGACGGCAGCTTGCCTTGCAACTCTAGGAGTGTCGCACGGATTCTGTCTCCATGCTCGGTGGCGTGCTGTAGGCTGTACGCTTCACACTGTAGTGTCGCGCGGCAGACTCGCTTCATTGTAGAGCTACCGAATGCAACCAGGTGAAGCTTGTGCTTTGGTGCGTTCACGTCGCGTGCCGTTTCCGCGTCAGTGAGGTAGTGCAACCTCCCCCTCTGGGACTTGTACCCAGCTTCAGCAGCAAAAGAGGCGTCACAAAATGTGACTACTGCGAGGGGGCCACTGCTCCACGGCAGTATCTTGGCGCGATACACGATGCAGCGTTCTGCGTCGGCTAAGGCGAGTGCGACCACACGGTTGGCCTCTCTCATCGTGTCGATGGTCGCGACGGTCACTCGCTGCTGCAACGCGTTGACGCGGTACGCGAGGTCGGGCCTTGTTGCCCGGGCCACCCACGCGAGTGAACCTATGACGGACCGAAGCGCCGTCCTCTGTCCTTGTGTGACAGGTGTCGTCAACTTTGCACCCTTGGGGATCTCGAGGGGAGCGATGGCACGCGTGTTGTCCCTTGAGTTGATCTCGATGGTGCCATCGGGGTGCTGAGCGTATTCCCTGCCACAGAACCTGAAGCTACCCTCTTCGATCCTCCCGATTTTGAAGTGGTCCAGCAACTGCTGGATCTTCAGCTCGCCCTCACCGAACGCTGCCCAGAAGAAGTCGTCCACGTGAGTGCACAGCATAGCGCACAGCCGGCCGCTTGTGTCGTGCGCGTAGTACAACGCGGACATGATCTGGGATGACTTCAGTCCGATGCACTTTGTCTCTTCGACTATGCGAAGGTAGAGGTTTCGGCCGGCGTCGGTCGTTCCATACACTGGGACACGGGCAATCATGTAGCCGGATTCCTGGATCTCCTTGTCCGGAACGCCCTTGGGGTTGCTAGGGGCCTTGAGGATCAGCAATCTCTCGAGCGGCTTACCCTGAAAGTAGGCGTTCGTGATGTCGGCTGCCTTGATTCGCAAGCCGAGGGAGGATGCCCAGGAACAAATGAAAGCCAGTGCTTCAGGCTCGGCTGTCGGGGAATCTGCACGAATGTCCTCCCCTGTGGAGATGTATGTGCTCGAAATTCCCGCATGCGACTAGCCTAGCTTTGTATTTGGGACGATAGCCGGGGGTGCCTTTCAAATGTTCATGTTTGTCGGTGAGAACCCACTTGGTGGGCACGCAGATGTGTCCTTGGCTAAGCAACTCCTGCACTTGCTTCTTTGAGCAAGGTATCACAGCGTGAAATTCCTGATACTTGGCCCACTCTGCGAGCATAGCCTCGTCCAACCCCAACTGCACCTCGGCCGGGCTGTTGTGGTAGTCCAAAAGTGAGGCTAGGAAACTCGTTCCAACTTCCTCGTCGTCTGAGGAATGCATGTCGTCTGCTCGCTCAGACTCCTCCTGACGGGGCTGCTCTACTTGGGGTGTTGGAATACGCGTTTGTGGGAACTCCAAGTCTTCCATCATCTGATGTTCATCTGCGCGCAACTTTCCCAAGTGATTCATAGTGAACCCAATGATGCTGAACCTTTGCCCTTCATGGGGTTCCACCATATGGAGTTTCTTTGGATCAAAACGAAGGACTTTGCCTCGAGTGGTGTGTAGAGTCCCGGGAACAAGGTTGCCACAAACGTCAATCACTGTGTTCCCCTCAGGGTTTTCTATCCACAGGTGACCTCCTTTCGAATAATTTCCCAAACTCATGGTGAAGTTGAGCGACCCCTTCAAATTGGAGTTGTCTTTGTGCAAACTTGCCCGCGATTCGCTTACTTGGATCCCATTCCAAGTGAACTCGGTGTAGCCTGCCTTCTCACAGTGGTGCCTCAGGAAGCGGTTCAAGTAGGTCACAAAGCACGGGCGTTGCTTAGTAGGGTTAGAAATCCCAACAAAACCACCGTGCCTATAAACACCGAAACTGGCGGCAAGCTCATCATCTGTTGCGTCTTGGAACATCGCTCTTTTCGTCCTCTTCGGTTTGTGTTCCTTGCACAACCTGAGCAGCTCGAGACAGTGGCTCGTCTCGAAGGCCATTGCTTCCAGGAGCTCGCATGCCTTTGTTTCTACAGGATCGGTGTCCTGTGCCTCAGCCATCAGAGCGCTGGAGCTCTGTCTGAGCGGGGAACGAGTTCTTTCCCTGCCCGTCTTATCACTGGGCGAAATCTCTTTGCTTGTGACGGCGGGACTCTCGGCCGCTGCGACTCTCATGGGAGTAGAGGGAGCCGACGCTATGCCAGTGTTCGGTCTGGGGGTAGAAGGCGCTGTTACTGGATCCTTATCTCTTTCGTCGAGATAACGTTGCTCTGGACCGTGGACAATGGAACCTGGTAGAACGGGTTCTCCGGTCAGAACTCGGCGTGCAGCTACTTCGACCTCATCCGCAGGCCTCATCTTTCTGGCATTGACTAACACAGGCACACCCTCATGCAGCAACCAGTATGCATTCTCTGCCTCGCGCCCTATCACGCGGCTTGCAGTTGACCACACAGTGGATGTTGAACCGGGCAAATTGTCCCTTCGATAAATGACTAAATCGCCCACCTGATACTCCATGTCCATGGGAGCTGCATTCCTTTGCAATGCACGAGCAACCTTCCTGGACGAGTCCAAGTGCACGAAGGCCTTGCGGGCTTCTTCCCGGGCCCTATGTCGGGAGTAGAAAGGAGTAAAGGAGTGGTCTCATCGAAACGGGCCAACAAAGTTCCCATGCTCTCATCTTCATCCATGACTGAACCTGGTGTCCTAGGTCGCTTGCCTAGCACATGCTGTGATGGGCTGAAACCTTGATGCCTGGACAGGTCATTCTTTGTAGTCACACACTCACTGACCACCATGACCATGTCCTCCCAAGTCGAGGGCTGAATCTCCTGCACTGTTTTTCTTACCAGTGCCTTGAGCAAACCACCATGTCTTTCGACCTTTCCTATGGTCTGCGGAGATTCTAAGGGTGCATTTCGGAGATGAATCCCATGTTGCCCCATGTAACTTGCAAACTCTCCCTTGAAATGCGTTCCCCTATCAACCACTACATGTTGTGGATGTCCTGCCCACGATACCCATCGCTCCATGAAGACCTGCAAACACTGTCGTGCGCTGGGATTGCCACCTCCTGACTTTATCAGGGCTACTTGCTGGAAGCTGGTTCCCATGTCGACCATGTTGACTGCAGTGTAGCGGGTACCTTCGACATCCTTTACTTCCATGCAATCTATGCCAAGTGTGTGATTGAACTCTTTCGGAAACACCGATTCCCCTGAGACTGGATGGTGTCGCGGAACTGGTGCAGTGTCTAGGCAAGCCTTACATCTGTGAAGGCGGGCAGCTAGGATGAACTCCTTGGATGCCTTGCTCTGCCTAAGGACCTGCTCCAGGACTTTACCTGGGAGATGACCGAATGCCCTATGGAGTCGCCTGATAGCAACCCTCGTGCGCTGTGGGAGCGAACGCCAAGCTGCTCTGCGTTCTTCCTCCGATGCCGGAGTACCTGGAAAGGACAGTTGCTCGAGGATGAGTTGCTCTCTCTCTTCAGGGGTGAACACTGAGGCCCCATTGTCTTGCTCCCTAAGTAGTTCAGCCATCTCTTCATCGGGGATGAGTTCCTGATCTTCCATGTCGGAACCTAAACCTTCCGACACTACAAAGCAATTGCGTGTGTAAGAGTTCAGGTAAAGCTCCTGTGAAATGTCACGACATGTGGCCCAGAAATCATGTTCTTCCGTGTCTGCATAGCAACGGGGGCTCATGCCATAGCTCTCGGTCCATGTGGACAAAACCTGGAGTGCATCGTCGATGTTCGGCCCTATCCCGGAAACATTCAAGTCTCCTCTTACCTCGACGGTACTTTCGAGTGTTGGGCATCCATAGGGGCTCACCAAGACAATGCTTACTCCAGCTGTGTCAGCTAGGCACTCACACTCTAAACACAACTCCTCGGTGGGAGCGTCGACCCTCAGAACTATGAGACCGGGCACACCTGTCTCCAGGTTGGCAATGGTCTCGCTGATCACCTGCGCGTCAAG